CTCAGTGGCATCTGTGTGGCTACACTGACTTGTGTCTTGCTGTAGTCCTCGCTCTTACTGCATCATATTTAAGCTCCTTGCTGCCTTTGAGATTACCTAGAATGTCTTTGTAAAAATAGACCAAGAGAGAAGATACCTGCTTCCTCTCCTTTGTGCTCTTAGCAGCCATCTCACCTTGAATGCTGCTTCTGCCTTCCTCCTTGCTCCTGGCTTCATGCCTTCTGATAGGGTACCCTTCCCATTTCTTGAAATCACCCGCCAAATGACTTTACTGCCTCCGTTCATATTAACTGTAAAGCGATTTCTACCATATCCTACCCTTTTCGAAACTTCTTCCATCTCATAAGCTGTTCTCAGTCATCGGTCATCCTCAGTCCTGTGTGCTTGTTTCTGATGTTATCAGGATTATAATGTTGCCTGAACGGGAACATTTTTTTCTTTGTAAAGTTCCAGAGTAATTTATTGATGTCATGGGAGTTCATGTATTATCTTTTGTATGGAGGGCTCTTTCATGTAGGGAATATTTCACACAGGAAAAAAAAAATGATTACCTGATAAATGTTTTGTTCTTAGAGATCACATGATTATTTATTCTTGAATAAAGTTTCATGATTTTTATTGGGGTTTGTGGGGTTTAGATGTTGCTATTTATAAATGTTCAGTAAGATAAAGTCAGAGTAGTGGACTTGGATATTAAAGATAGGGAGATTTATGACTGTCAGATGTCTTTGTCACTGATTTACTCCATATTTTTAAATCCTTTCTTGAAAGAATAGCCATGTTGGAGAAAGAGCTCTTCATTGCTGGTATTCAAAGCTCTTTGTGCAAGAGGAACGTAGTTGTTGATAATGGTCTCTGGTTTGGACCTTTAAGCAAGTGTGAGTCCTGGCTGTGAAGCACATCAAATACCAGCCCCAAAGTGCTTTCGGTTCTCCAAGGGGGCATTTGGGGGGAGCAGCGACGTGTCTGCTGTGGTCGCAGTGGAGAGGAGACTCAGTGCACTGCCTTTTGTCTTGGAGAACTGAATGCGTCATGCTCAAGTACGTTGCACTTCTGTAGGAAGCCGTGAAATGACAACTGTGTGAATAACTGATTCCACCAGCTAGGAACGAAACCTCTTAACTATGCAGAGGTGGTGGCAAGTATTGTTTGCTGCCATGGATGAGTATTTGGTGTCTTAAATGTATCCAGAAGTGCCTGGATTAACCAGCTGCATGTACCGCCAATTATAGCTGCAAACCAGTCCATCCATATCTCCTCTAACTACTGACCAACGCACAAGCGTTGCTTTGCTTGCATTTCTTTTGTGTTACCTGTAAGCTAACTAGTAACGGCGCAGTCACTGGGGGCGAAGGCCCCGTCTCACCTGCTGCCCTTGACTCCAGTGTCATTTGATCCTTTTCATGAGTGGTTCACCCAGGGTTTTGTTAACATGAGGTACACGAAAAATGGTGGTATAAGCCATGTGGCTAATAATATTTCAAGACATTGAAATACAATGCACTGCACACTACCAGAAAATTATTTTATCTGGAAAAATTATCTCCTATGAATTTTTCTCATTTCTGTCTCCAGCTTGCTCTTAAGTAGTAATTTTCCTGCCTCATAACATCATACTGCTCTAAAAAAACTGTGCACATTGATTATACAAGGTGGAAAAAGCACTGAGACATATAGCTGAAAAATCTTGATAGTCACAAAAGTGCTCTTCCTTTTAAACGCTTCAAGAATGCTTCATATATACCCGAAAAGTAAGTTCAGCTTGAGATAGCTCAGATTTCCAGTTCAGGCTGTTTTTTAAAGACATTGAGTCTATGAGATCGTGTTATTTCATAAATTGTTTCTCAAATTCTCTCAAAGTAACTTCCATCCCACTGCCCAGTTTTAGCCTAGCGATGACAAAGTATGAATTTCAAGAACATAAAGTTACGAGGCTTTTCCTGGCAGTCGGGAATGGATAGAGGAGTGTTACTGAAATTGTTGGCTGTCCCAAGGGACACCTTTTCTTGTATTTGGCTTGTTGGATGACCACTTGCCATTGCTGTAGCATGGAACCAGCCACAGCGCATATCTATTCCTATAATCTATTTTCACCTACTTAGGAAGGACATGGGGAAGAAGGTTCTGTGCAGGAGAGGTTCAGAGAAGAGTCAAAGGAAAAAAAGAAGTCAAGGTTTTGCAGTGAAAGGTCACAGAAAATATGCTGAAAGATTGGGTTGAAGAAGAGAGACAGACACAAATTTGTGCCTGCAAATCAACCTTGCTAGTTTGACTGTTTATAGAACATCCTTCTAAACACTTTGCCGCTAAAAGCAAAGATTTTTTTTTAATGTTTCAGAGATGCGATCACATTTAATACCGAGTCCTCATGCAATTATGAAATGAATTGGCACAGGTGAAATAAATATCTATTTTAATACTTAAAAAAATTTACCTTCTTCAGCTTGCTTACAAAGCTTAGATGAGATGCAGCAGTCAAATTGCCAAATCTTGAAGTGGAAGTAGAGAGCACGCCTCATCAAATTATTCACACCTGAAAAAGTTTTGCGGAATAATATCAGGCTAAAACTACCAAACCAACCTGCCAGAGCTCTGGTATCTTACTGTTTAATGACCATTTCTACAGTCATTTGGCTTATTTGTAAAATATTGAAGAAGGTTAAAAGAACTAGAGAATCTGTCACTGCAATCCTAGTTCCTTACAAGCTATTGACGATTCCAATGTTATTACTTTGTAATCATGCTACAGTTTTACCTACCGAGGTGCTAGACATAGTGAAGATGAGGTATTGCTCTGCTGATTTCATGATTCTTTTCTTAATCAAGTATTTCTGTAAACTCTTTAAGTTAAATAATCTTCAGATCTCCTATCAATAGTTTTATTTTTGCAATATAAATCTTCTTGGTACCAGCTTTTGTAACCATGCCTTTTAAACAAAGCTGCTATAAACAGTCATTTACAGGTTCTGTTTCTGAGACAGCTTTAAAAAATATGTCGTATATATTTGCTCTTGCTCTAAATGTTAAATATCATTGCATATAACGATGCGAACAGATGGTATGCTGCATAAGCTGTTTATCATTTTACACATTTATCACTTTACACGAGTGAAGTGTACGTGTGTTTGATTAATATTAACTTTTGGTTTATTTGGAGATCTCTGGCTTTTGACAGCATTAGGAGATATATTCTAATCCATACTGGCTTCCAACCTTAAAATTTAATTCCAGTAAAGACAGAGTAGATGCATTCTATAGTTCTTAATTGCATGAACTTTTTTGCTGTGGAAAAGAATTATGTAGTTGAGGTTTTAATACTGGAGGGAATTTGGAAATAAGTGGATAACTCTGCTAAAATATACTAGGCAGATTAAATTTAGATGCCACTGGTCCAACTAAATAAACATTGTATCTTGGAATTAAATACCAGATGCTAAGAAGGTGTAAAATAAAACAAAACAGCAATGGTCCTATTCAAATCAATATTCTTTTACATCCTCCACCTACAGAATGAGAGAACTTCATATTTGCCTGCTCAACAGGTCTGGATGTTCAGCATGTGTTACATGTACGTCACTGTATATGAAACTAAAAAAGTGCCTCGAAAAGCATTTCAAGCTTGTAGGCATAACACACGGACCATACTTTGAGACTTCTGACTGCAGCATTGTATTAAAAATACGGTTTACCAAGATGTTACTTCATCATAATGCATTTTGTCTCAGCTAAAGCCTGAAAAAAGGCAAGACTTTCCTTTGCTACAATGGATGGGAAAACGATTTCAAGTTGGAATGGGTCTGCTTGTGCTTGTTCTGCTAAATGGCAATAATATTTAATGAGAAATTTTGCTCTAAACTCTAAATTCTTTAGACTGTGAGATGCCCAGCCTGTCAGAATAAATAGAGGAGGCTAAAAATGCTTGCTTTGAAAATGACTGTTCATTTTGGAAGGCACTGAGCAATCTCAGTGAAATATAACTGAGTCAGTTGAGTTTTGGATAGAGATCAAATCCCCAGCATGTATTCTGGCAGCATGTCTTCTTCACTGATTCCATTCCTCAATATCTTTTATGTCCAAATAGCACATGCAGCACTTCAGTCTTATATGCTGCTATCATTCAGATTCCAGATACCTTTCAGTGACTTCTTATAGACTGAATTAATAAATAAATTACTTTTATTTATGCTTATTTATAGTTTTTATGTCTCGGGGGTTTTTTTTCTTCCAGGTCTATTAATATTATGGAAAGATGTATACAGCAAAAATGATGATGTAGCACTAGGAATTACCCAGAGAGTATAGATTTTAAACTTTAATGTTGCAGTGAAGTTCTAAGTTCAATTGGCGTGACCATAATAGCTGGTCAGAGCTTCATATAGTTAACTTATTTTTTTCCATGAAAACTCTTTTGGACTTCTATGGCCCTGATGCCTTTGCTTCCAGGACATCAGATCCTTCCAGAAACTAGCAGAAGGAAAATGCTGGGAAATTAGGAGAGTGCATATAATAAAAGAATGTCTGTTGAACGTGAGCTTACTTTGGGAGTGAAAATCTTTGTTCCTGGATGATCTGAAAATGAAAGCTTCTTAATATCTCACTGGTTACGTTAGAGAGCATGAAATGCACATACATGTTTGTGGATAATGCGGTCATGAAAAATGACTATTATTTAAGAAAATATTTTTAATGTATGAAATGTAGAGTTGTAGCACGCTAATTGTTGGAAATAAAATACGTAAAGAGAAAGATTTGGTTGAACTCATTAACTTTTTTGGTTTTTAAACTGGTAATTTTAAGGAAATTAGTTGCATATTTCATGAAGAGCTAGCTCTGTTTTCCTGTTACGATGTCAGCTATACGCTGTTTCTTAAATATGTGTTTTTATTAAAAGATGGTAATTAGAATTTCTGTATCTTCCTGTTCTTTCCGCCTTCTGTTTTTAAAACTGAAAGAACAGTTTTCTGCATTTTGATCTAAAAGACTATTTTCTTTCTTTGCAGGTTAATAATGAGAATGTCGTGAAAGTTGGCCACAGGCAGGTGGTGAACATGATTCGACAAGGGGGCAATCACCTAGTTCTTAAGGTTGTCACAGTAACCAGGAATCTTGATCCAGATGACACAGCTAGAAAGAAAGGTACATTTTTCTCATTTCCTACATGAGTCCTTTTGGTCTTACTCCGCAGAAAACAGAATATGGATGTGAAATTACTGTTTTATAATTTCTGCTTTATAGATTTCCTTTTTAAAATTTGAAATTCTCTTCTCTTACTTAATCCCGAGTAATTTAATTCTGTTGACTTATGCATTAATATGTCACAAAAAGGGTAATATTATTTTGTCATGCTTGCCATGAAATTTTATCTTTATGAATCTTTGTGTATTTATATGTTTGAAGATCTTGTAGTAAAATTTCTTCCAGTAGTGAGAAAGAAAAAGCACAAGGAACAGGTTACCTTTCTTAGGTTATCTATCTATTAATAATATAGAATATCTATCTATTAATGGATTATCTATTATTCTTCCACTTGGCTGATAGCAAGAAAGCAGCTACGCCAAGAGAGGTTAGTATAGCATCCTGTACCACAAAGACTTTGGGAAAGAATTGTCTGGGTACAAACAGGATGAGATTTTTTTCCTGCCTAGGTGTTGGGATTTCTAGTATTAATTTTAACAGAGATTATGGGTTAACCTATATCATAAGAATGGGCTAATCCCTTAAGAATGTCAGTGTGTTTCCTACCTACCCAAAAAACCCCACCACAAAAAGATTTTGCAATTTTGCACTATTTCCTTCACCTTAGATAACCCTGAGTTTGCTCAGGTTAAAAGCTACTCTGGGAAGTCACTAGGCCCTCATAATTACCATTAAGAAGAAAAGATTGCTGCTGCTAACTAGTGTTCAATACAGCAGCATCACATTTTTGAAAATTCCTGTTCCCCCCACCAGTTTCCTCCCACCCATTGTCAGTCACAGCCGCCTGCCTCTTCAGCACGAGAGCGGGCTAGAACCTGGCCCCCGAGGGCTCCCTCTTTGTCCATGGGTAAAGCTTTCTGCCTACACTGTGAGTGTTCTTGACATCTACTGCTTTTTTTTTTTTTTTTTTTAATAAAGCCCCTGGGGGCGGGGGGAGGCTATATTAAAGTAAATAATGTCAAATGTCAAAACATGGTCCTGCGTTATTGCTAGGTTAATAGAATTCCTATTCACATATTTTAAACAAACTTTTCACCTCTGTCCTTTGGGATGTGTCATATCGGCCTTAAATAAAAGTGCTGCTGTATACAACCCAAAGGGAAGTTGCTACTATAAAAACAAACTCAGTTCCTTGTCATCTTTCCAGAGCCTCCTGTTGAAAACGCGTCATTTGCCCAAAACATTCACTTTTGCATCTTGTCCCTTTTTGGTACAAGTCAGTAGCCTTTTGTGTTACCCGGTGACTGCCATTGTGCCGTGGGAATTGTGTGGAAGCATTTTCTTGCCATCAGTCTCCTTTACAGTGAGGCCAGTGTCAGATACCCAGCCTCGCTTCCCAGTGTTTTGTGCAGTTTCCCTCACAGACTTGCGGTCGCTTGCTGGGCAAGGGCAGACCTCAGACTGAAGTTAATATGTACCTCATGTCTGGCGCTGAATCTGAGCTGTATTTTTGGTTTCTTGTGACACACTGTTGTTCAAGCCTCTGTAAGATGAAGGAGCTTAACAGGGAAAGGATGATGCTGACATAGTGGGTATAGGTGGTGTGGGAAGAACGTTGTCTACTTTCCTCCATCACTCTTTCTTGCCCTCAAACTACTTTGCCATCTTTGACAAAGTGGTGTAGCCTAATGTATAGTATTGACCAAAACTCTTAAAAACCCTTAATTTTTCCTGGTGTCCCAGAGCCATTTCTGTTTACTAGAAATCTCCAACTTTCCTACCAACATTGGCATAATCTTTTCTGACATTATGATCCTTTCTGACCACCAGAAACATTGGTTATCAGGCTACTGAAACACCTGCTGGATTTTAGTTTCTGTGCTAGATGATTGCCTTGATACTTTCAGATCTTATTTATTCTGAGGATCACCTGTTTTCCCTAGTCTCACTGTAACTATTAAGACAAATTTGAATCTTCATTCTTGTATTTCTCAGGTTTAACAGTTTCTTCGAAGATAAAATTAATCTGGCAGAGATTGGCTGCTCTCCAGGAGATTTTTAGCTATGTACATTTCTTAGAAGGAGGGGCACAAGTGCTGCGAGGCACTTTCTGTAGAAAGTCTTTTTCCTAATGAAAAACAGAAGTGCACAGTTATTTGGCTTTAAATGTTTCTGTGTATCCTGTTACATAAAAGCTTGCTGATGTGTCAAACAACCTACGCTAAAAGTAGAAATGGTATAGAAATTCCATACATGAAAAACATCTCAGGGTTTTTTCCTCCGCATGTATGTATTTATTATTACCTTATTTTATGTAGCATATTCTTTTAAATAAATATGAAATTGTGTATGTGAATATAGTGGTTTAGAGACGTGTATTTACTTACACGGTATATCCTTCTGTTTAATGCAAAGCCCCACCACCTCCTAAGCGAGCTCCAACCACTGCACTGACCTTGCGGTCTAAGTCAATGACCTCAGAGCTTGAAGAACTCGGTAAGAAAGTGTTTTTCGACAAGCATGCTGGCGTAATAGAAATGTAAATATATATATATCTCTATGTATATACGTTAAATTGACTAAAAGGAACTGCACTGTGTACAGTATATAGAACAGAAGAGGTTTTAAGAATGCTGCATCTTTGGAGAGTTCAAATATGCATGATTTGCATGAATAATTTTTGTTTAAACTTGTGCCTTTACTGCTACGCAAGAGAATGTCGATACATTTTATGCATCATCGAAGTTTGGCACATCTACTAAAAAGTAATGCCGTATCATATTTTGTTAGCTTTGCTTTCTAAATTTTCAGTTCATCTAATATTGTTTTATTTTAAATTTCTGTGGCCTCTCATTAGTGGATAAAGGTAAGCTGCCAGAAGCTGTTGTTAAAAAGCTGACAGTGTTAAAGCAGCTTCAACTTCAACTTGTTTTCATTAGACTCTGTTCTGAAAAAGTGCATATTATGATATCACTTTGACTTCTGTGCATGATATAAGCTTAATTCTTCTCACTATTAGTAATAAAAAAGTATTGAGCATTCAGTCTTTTATTTGCTAATTTTAAGAAATGTAATTGTAGATTATTTGCTTGATCATCCACATTCTAGATATGCATAATTCTTTGGGAATTTTGATTTATCTTCTAGAAATGAGGAAGATAATAGTTCTTTTCTTCCTGGTTTTAATCTGTTAGGCCATTAAAAAGTACAATTTCTGCAGCTAGACTGATAAATATGTTATGGATGGACCATATATATAAAGAGAAAAGCCCAGTACATATTTACATATGGCTATTACACTAGAACAGTGTGTTTAGCAAGTGATAATTGGGTATAAAAACAAACCACATCCCTCATTGCAGACTAATAATCTATCATATAATAAAACCATTTTTCCATGTAATACTACATTGATTTAAATACTTACATTTATAATCTTTTTTTTTTTTTTTTTTCTGGCATGTACTCATGTGAAGGCCAACTGGAAGAAATCAAAGCCTTGTGGCCCCTTTTTTTTCCCTGAAAGTCAATGTTTTCTGGGGCAGATGGACCCCATCCATCCTTTAGTGAGTCAAGTCACATAGCTTCCGTGGGAGTTCTTACCAACAAAGAGGTTCTGAAGTGGTTACTGTCTTCTCTATGGTATAACAACCAAATGAAGACCAAAATGAAACAGTCTGATTATTTAGCTCTAATAGATCTCAGAAAATTAGACTTTTCTGTGCCAGGAAGTTTGGGAGCCTGACTGAAGGTTTCAACAGTTTGTAAATATTCCGTTAATTTCTGTTCCAGGATTAGAATGTAAAATATTTTTTTCTGGAGCCACTTTTTGCATTTGGGTGTTTTGATTTGTTTTCCTTTCATGGAGTGCGAAGAGGTTGTAAAACTTGGCTGGCTTATCAACAAACTTTCCCAAGGGCACAGAAATACTTAGGCACCATTTTTCGCCCTTCGTTATCCCCTTCTGCAACTCAATTTCAAACTGAGGGTATCCTTCTATTTCTCTTACTTTTCAATCTTACATAATAGGTACTGTTGGTAAAGCAGAGAGAAGCAGCACTCTTTTCTAGGGGAAAATAGCTTACTCATAATAAAGTCACCTCTACAATGAAGACCATCATAGTTTAGCTTTCTCACCCCTCTATGCAGGTTATAGTACTTGATCTGCTATTTGTTCTCATCGGCTGGCAGAAACCAGTGCAACTCTTGTGACTAGCAGCCATGGGACATACTTGAATCTTTAAGCACGTTTCCCATCCATATCTTTATCCAGGTGGGGCAAATATTACAGTGGCAAGACTTTACTATTCTGAAGAATATAGTCCTGAAGCATGTTTCAGAAGTGTATGTCCCCTAATAAAGCCGTAGTAATACTAGAGCATGGCAGAAATTTGTCTTCTTCCTAAACAAGACTGTAAATACCTGTTCCGTGATACTCTGAATATTTGCCACCCTAGCAAACAATACGGCTACTGTTATAAATAACATCTGTGGTCTACCTATTTTAATATATGTCCTTTAAAAGGGCTATTATCAGAAGGAACAAGAGTCCTTAAATTGCACAACAACCGAACAAGCTTCCAAAAGCAAAATGTTCTCACTATCATCAGTTAAAAGTTGTCTTCTGACATAAAACACAGATTGTATGTGTGTATTTATATATAATTTATATATCTTTATATGTATATGTGTATATATTGGACATGTGTATGAACTATGAGAACACCCACATTTTTATATCCATTAAACTATCTAATAAATAAGCATTTGTTTCATAACATGTATGTGCAAACTAAATAGGAAGTATGTATAGATGAACACTGTGGATGTTCTCATCTACATATGTGTAATCTTTTTTCTGAACTGAAGCAGCTCATGGTCTCAATAATGTCTCGTGGCAAAGAATTCCACAGGCTAATTATGTGCTGTGTACAAATGTATTTCTTTTTTATTGGTTTTAAATGTGATCCCTTTAATTTTATTGAATGTCCCTTGTTATGTAATAGAAGAAAAAGATAAGCGAAATGCCCCATTTGCTTTCCCTTAAGAGTATATATTTTTGTAATTTCTCCTAGCTAAGCTAAACAACAGCATTTTTTAAAAACAATTATACATCTCCCAGTATTTACAGTCACTTCCATTGCCTGGCTCTGAACTCTTCTTATGGTTTTATTTCTATGTTTTTAGCTACTCTGTTCTCCATAATACTGAGCAGACCATCTCAGTTGTTCTCTTTCAAATGAGTTAATCCAAAATATGGCAGATAACGTGTGCTAACGTGTCCTTTCCACTTTGATGTGCAAAGATTTGAAAATGTCCTGTTATCGTATCAATATGATATGATATTGAAAGCCCTGGTATCAATAAGTTGCCCCAGTTACTGTTTCTAAAAAAGAATTTAGAAAAAAAAAAAAGTATGTGTATCCCTGATACTTGCAGGGGAGCAGTTTCTTACAGATGAGGTATAAACCCTGATAAACTGTGCTTTTGCCAAGCTGTTTATCTGCTGTGGTTCGATAGATACATGCATAGCAGAGGCTAGCAGGGAGAGACTAACTTCTTAGATGGAAGAAAAATGTTTATGCTCAAAATGACAGACGAGGATTTAGCATATAAAAAATTACCTTCAGAATTGATTCACAGTTCATTCCCTTTCTATTTCCAAGCTTCAGTACGGAAGAAGAAGGGTAAGGGGAAGCATTTTGTCTCTTGTTTAACCTGTTTCTCACCTTTCCATAGTGAAGGATAATAACATAATGTAAATGTTGGCATATGGTCCAGTTTATTTTATGGTGTCAAATGTACATTAATTATTGTATATGTTTTTTAGTTATTTAGTTAATAAATTGCAAACACTAAGAACTCAAACAGAAGACTACATTTGAAAATATTCCCCACATTTCTTCCTTTTGTCTCCTTTCCTTCATCTTGCCTTTTTTTCCTTCTTTGTATCCGACTCTTTTCCAACCTTTCCATATCATCTCCTCACAGTTACTGTGCTAACTGGCAGCCACAGAGAACGCGTGGCCAGCCACATATCCTCAGTGTAGTCCTACGTTAGTGATTTCACTTGTCTTTTAATGGCCAAATGTTACTCCCATAACCACACTGTCTCTGTCTCAGGAAGTAGGGATCTTGCACACAACACTTGAACTTTTGACCTGGAGAAATGCTGCTCTGCACAATTTTAAGTTTTCAGTATAACATCTTCCATGGTGTCCCGTATGCATGGAGTGCCCTCCCTGAACTGATTCATAGGTCACTACCTTCTCCTTGAAATCTCTCTTAAAGACCCACTTCCCCTGTGGTCCCTATTAAGCAATCATCGAAGTAATGATGGCTAGGCAGAGGGGCAGGTAGAAGTAGTGGTGCTATTTTAACAGTTTTTATAAATGTAACTGTATATATATGTAAACAAAGTTTGTTTGTGTTTAGCTGTATTTTTCCATACTCCTGTATGTCATTTTGCTTTCTTAGACTGTAAGCTCTCCTGAGCAGGGACTGTGTCATTTACACGTTCCATGGCGTCTAGCCCAAGGAAGAGTCTCAAACCTCCCCGAGCCCCTGGGTGGTAGCTGGTAAAAGTCTACGTCCCGCTCTTCGACAAAGTTCAGTGTCACGGAAAGGAAAGCTAGGCTGTAGGCAGTACCTTCTCTCAACAGGGAAACTTTTGACTTTTAATGTTAAACAGGACAAAATCAGGTTATTTTCCACTCTTTAGTTTTCTGCTCTTTCTTGACCTCCTTTCAGCTCGCTAACAGAGGTTCCAGCTAGTGATATTTTCCATTCTCCGTTCAGAGAACATGACAGCTTAAACCCCATTGCTACTGGTATTTTTCTGAAAAATATGTTTTGGCAGCATATAAAAAATTCTTTACATTGTTATTGTGTTTTCTCTCAACCAAAAATTCAGTTTTCTGAGTCATAGGTGAGAGAGTCATGAAGATGAAAATAATGGCTGTTGTGATTTAGTTTGACTGGTTTTGTTGGTTGTCTTTCAAGAGGGGTTCTGATTCATTGGGAGGATAGGAAAAGGGAAGGACATAGGCTGTATTTTTTGTATTCAAGATAGAATATATGACATTTGTGTCTACAGAGATAGGTAATAAAATCTTTAGGTTCCCAGCGGTATGGCATGGGCAGTATAATCGTTTTACTGCAGTTACACAGCACAAATTACTAAAATGTAAACTGTACTTCATCTGTGCCACCGACTTTCTGCTTATAGTAGTTGCCTGACTCAGAGAGATAGCATCCAACTTCAAAATGTATGTTTGGAGCAGATGTGTTGTCAATAGTAAAACTCCTTTCTGGATTCTGTGGGATATCGGGGAGGGGGAAGACACCTTATTTTTTTCTTTTGTGACTTGTAGGTTTTCAAGACCTGTTGAATGAGGAAGTTATGGCAACGTGTAAACTAACAGTTAGTTATAGCAGCAATTTTTTGGAGGCAGTACTTAAAAAATAATTCTAGGTACTGTGTAGTTAGCCCATTAATACTGAAGAATAACCAAAATATTCATGCAGCGTATTAAAATGAAGACTTGAAAATACTCTGAAAATAAAACATTAAAAGAAAATCTGTGACACTCCCAATGCTTTTTTTTTCAGTCCTAATTTTCATCATCAATACAGAAAATAGGTATCATTAGAGTTTCAAAATTAATACTTTAAAATAATAAATTTAACTCTGTTCATAAAAAGCTTATGTGGTTCATGAAAGGCTTGGTTTTAAAGGATCTTTCCTTCAGTTTTTGTTTCTACTTTATCAATAACTTCTTGTGGATGGAGAATTTTAAACTAATATGATACTTAAGGAACACAGCCATAAACCAAGATCTGTAAATGTCTAGATACATGATTTTAAAGTTTCATGCTTCTCAGCTTTTTTTACTGCTAGGAAATGGGTTTGATTTAGTGAGTGATTTGGGATTTTCAGTGAAAGCTAAAGTGGGCAGTGTTTAATTTTAAAAACCTAATACAAAAGTCCTCTAAGAGAAAGTACAAAATTAAGAATAGAGCAGGCAAAATTTTCATAATGAAATGGGAATGATAAGATAAATAATTGTTCTGCATTTATAAATTTTACTTTGACAGTGTCACACAAGTCTCTGTTGTGAGCTAGGGGAGTAGTTTGTTTGTTCTTAGATTTGATACGGTAATCAATAGAAGATAATCCTTCTATATGTGGTGATACTGATTTTGGGGTTTGCTGTGGGCTACAGTACCAAATACAAATGGAGGATTTTCCTCCTTTGAAAGTTTAGATGCTAGTACGACCTCTCAGATACAGAATAACTGATATCATCCACACAGAATATTGTTACCTGGCATCAAGTCTTAGCGGCATTTGAATGGAAAAATATCAGTTGATGGCATTCAAAAGAAATATTATTAGCTCTGTCTGCAATCTGCATTCACGCTTCATCCCATTCCTGTTGTCCATTGTTTCAAAGGTGGCACATTCTAATGGCATCTGAAACAATGAATTGCAGAGCAAATATATATAAATGAATGCCAAACAGCAGATTACCTTACAGTGTTATGTTATGTTTGAAGAAACCACTCACAAAGACGTCAGCATTCATTTTTGTATTTCACTGTGGTGGAGTTGATGATGGAGATTTGTCTGCAGGAAACAATGGAAAGACCATCAAAGCAACTTTTACAGCACTCACAACATCAACTCCTTTGATAGTTTCCAGCATCTGCAGTGCTTCTATGTAGGAAGAAGGTTTTCTGATGTTCACCAGACACTGTATTTTAGAAGATGAGAGCAAAAGGCATCAGGCTTAATGAAGAATTCTTGAAGGGTATCCTTGTAAGTAATTGATTTGCATGACATATTTGAAATTCTAATGAGATAGCAATATAATAATAAGATAAAAGTTGTCATCAGGTTGTAGTTTTTCACAAGCATAAAGCAGTGACTCTGGGTGGAATTTGTGAAAAAATGGAATGTGTGAAAAAATATGGGCCCCATTTTTTGTTGACGTAGCAAGGTTACAGGTTTTATGACTTGTAGTCTAACTTGTGGGGAGTCCACAGCGGTGTAAGAAAGTATAGGATTAGGACCATGCCTATGACATGTGCTTTTAAAACACTTTGTAAGAGAAAAGTATTGAAAGTCAGCGTGTTTCGAGGAGAACAATGCTAAATGAATGTTTTGCACTGAAAAAAGTTTGACATCTAGCTGGCATTGTGCCGATTAGCAACTTGTGGCACAGAATCTTAACAGGTAACTCTCAGTACTGAGCACTTCTTCAAGCCAAGGTTTATGTTGCATGAAGTGGACAGCTTTAACTAACATTTTGAAAACACTGGTAATCCTGAGCACAGATCAGTTGAGTCTCTGTGTGGGTGTTCTCCTCATTTACGCTAGTATTATTTTTAATTTATCAGCTTATTCTTGAGTATGTAGCACCCTTTCGTGATACTTGTTTTTCTTTACTACAGGACAGTAATTGAACAGGTTTTTTCAAAACCTTTCTGCATCCGCCAAACGAGGCAATGGTATAAAAGAAGTTGGGAAAGGAATTGTAAGTGTCAAAGAAAACGTGGTTTTCGTAGCATTCGGAAACAGACGAATTAAATACATTTGCATATGTGAGTGTCGCTTGCTATACTCAGATATTATTAACTGAATATCTAACCACATATTCAAAATCATGAGTGCTTGAAGAACAGTAAAAATTGCATGTGTTTCCCAACATGGTACAGTTAGGGCAGTGGAAAACAACTTTTTCGACACTTTTAATGTGTTCTCTCTCTTTTTCAGGAGCCAGGGAGATGAAGGACTTATCTCCCTCATCTCAAAACTCCCTTTGCTGCTATTTCTCTTTTTTTCCTTCTTCAAATGTTCATATACCCATGTTAATTAATTTCTAAATATATTTTAAAATAAATGTTTTTAGATAATTCATCATAGTTTGTTTGTTTTTTCCCCTCGGTGTGGAAGCGTGAGAGTAAGTGTAAGAATAGAGAAGGCTGCAAGTGTCTTAGGTTCTCCACCTTTCTTCTTTGTTTCTTTTGGTTGATTGTCTTTCTTTTGTGACTAGGCCAAATTTTCAAATGCTGTCTCTTAAACAGAACATCAAATTGCCACTTAAATTCCACCTGGCTTGCAGGGTAGGAGTGGGTATTGACTATATTTTCTGCTTTGTTTTTGTTCTTAAACAGAAACCACTGTTAGACAATGACCATTCCTCTTTCAAGGTAGGCTGAATTGTAAGGCTTCAGGATTGCAGGTGCATTTTAAATGCCTGTATAATTATTTCATTAATTGAACGTACTGTTAAAGAGCTGGTACTTGAAAATTTTATCTATAGAAAGAATTTGAATATATCGGTTTTCTGCCTTCCTTAAAATTACTTTTGATGGTGTGATTATGATATGTAAGTGTGACTTATATGTACTAATGCGAAGATATTTTCAGCCCTAGAAACACAAATAAGACTTTCTTTCAAGAAAGTTTTGATAGTTCTTTATTGTGAATACATACAAATAATTTTCATAAATCATGTAATGGTGTTTATAGACACTCAATGTTCAATGATTAATTTTAGTCATCAAATAGTTATTATGTTTTACTGATTTATTTTACATAATTTTCCCTTTTTTGGATTTTAGTGTACTTTTTGTAGCTTTTTACAGTATCCCAGAGAACATACAAGTATTTTTACTCAAT